GCAAAATTCCTTGGATTACACAACTGCTTGCTCCCCAGTTCGTACCACAGAGGACCGCACTTGATGGTAGTGAGCTACCCCAATCATATTACATCTTCCCACTAGCTGCTCATAATGTGGGAAGCTTAATCATCAGCAGGTCCTATTGGTTCTCAAGGCCCTGCTGTTGGCTTGAAACGTATCCCACTCTTTCAAAAACTTTAAACACATATGGACAGTCATACTGGATGGTGCCAAAAGTCCACCTCATCCCGTATCCTGTCCCTAGACAGTGCAGATGCTTGAAGGAAGAATATGAGAATGAAGCAATCACAGAGTGACTTTTCCCTCCAGTCTGCAATGGTATTTTCTCCCAGCTTCCAGCTATCCCCAGCTATGAGATTTCCTAAAAATACAGTTGTAAAATAAGGTTAACAGTCCTAATTTCTCTATCTGTTTGTCTAATTCAGCTTTTAAACTACTTGTGCTTGAAGGAGGTAATAGTAGTTTCTATCACAGTGGCCCAGGAGACCCTTTACCCATTCTTTTGAGCTTTCTATTATCTTACTCTTTTCTGAGCAGCTGCTTCTTGCCCCCGTGCCTACCTTGCTGCATGACAGGCCATCACTAACCTGAAGCTGATGGAGGTCTCTTCCGCACAGTTACTCGAGCACATGGATTATCTACCAGAGCTAAGAAGAGCTGCTCATCTATAAGGTCACTCACATGCAAAACTAAGGTTCAACACTTAAGCACAATACATACAATGATATCAGGTCAGCTGCATGTAGCCGGACCCAGAGGCCATTCCCTCCAGCAGCCTGTCTCCTGGCGGTCACTGTCTGATGTCTGGGGGGAGAATAAGCAAAGAGGGTAGTGAGACTTCCTTACAGACACCCTCTCTCAGCTAGATCCAAAAGACACATTTGTAAAGGGCCCAGCTATAGGTGGCCCTGAATGACACCCTGGAGGTGGCCAACACAAAAAAGACATAGGGAAAAGTGATAAAGATGTTTTCTTAAAAAAAAAAAAAAAAAAAAAAAACTTTTTTTTCTAAAGCCCTTAAAAATCCCCTCTTGGCAACTTTCATCCATCACAAAGTAGCAGCGATTTCAGTGATCCCAGTAAACCTTATTTACAGCAGACTTACTTCAATATGCTCTTATCAGCCTCAGCTGCCACCTCATTCAGTAAATCAGGTAGGGCAACCAAAGGAACCTTTTGATCACAGCAGCAGACACACATGCACAGTTACCATGCCATAAAGGATGTCCAGAACTGGAAAACCCCTACTTTGTCTTGTCCATGCATTAGGACACATACAGCATCAGCCCATATAGCAGAAGAGCAACATACCACAGGCAGTACTATTGTTTTTGCACAGAAATCCAGGAACAGGAGATTTGGAGTATTCAGCTAACATAGTCTCTTTTTCTGCAAGTCAGCACACAGAGGTGTGGTGAGTTTGCATGCAGTGAGCACACCCAGACTTTAAGCAGCCCAGCTGAAGCCGGATCCCATTTCAGGAATGTGTTTCTGATTACATGCACAAGCCAATGGGCAACGACTCTTCAAAGGCACCAGCAAGAGCAGCTGTGGTTAAGCAGCAGGTACTTACCAGAAACGAACCCTGCAAGCAGTCAAGGCACTGGCAGCACAAAGCAAACAAGGCTGCGAGCAATCTGCTTTGCATTAGTTAATGACACAGAAAAGTCAGGACTTCATTTCAAACGGTGAGGAGCAATACGAAAGATGGCATGTGAATCTCCTTCCGGACGGTAACTGTTTGCAAATGCAAGCCCAGGATGAAGCACCTTTCCTTGAACTGTACAACAAGCAGCCCGAGTGCTTGAAGGGTCGTGGGTGGTGGTCACCCAGGTGAACAAGACGTCTAGTGCAGCCCTGGTCTGAGTGTGCGCGGGGCTGCTCAAGGGGATGGAGCTTGCAAGGGAACAGGCTCAATTCTTCCCAACATCCCAACTTGTAGCTTCTCCAGGGCACACTTGGAGCAACAGAATAGGTTGGAAGTGTCTCGCGTGTCTGAATTTTCCCCAACTTTCCTGCTGCTGGGGCTATGCTTGTCATGTCATGTGCTCAGAGGCTGAACCTGCCCTGCTTTCAGAGGGGCCGTGAACCCAGCAGCCTCAACCCCCTCCAAAACGGGCAGAGGCAGAAGGCCACCAAGCCTTGCCGTGTAGCACCTCGAGCAGCACCCTCCGTGCTTGGCCCCAATGCCAGAGCCGGGCACCTGCCTAAGCCCCCGGGCACGTAGCGTGCATGAAAACCTGAAGGAACTGAGGGAAAAGGACCCTCAGCCCAGTCGGAAAGGGGGCAAGAAGGGGTGATGCCAGCCTCGGAGCTCCTGCAGAAAGGGCTCAGCTCCGGCTGCAGGGTTGAACGTGAAGCTCCCAGCACCTATTTTAGAAGCCCTCAGTAGAGGCTCGGAGCAGGTGCCGAGGCAGGGGGGGAGACAGAAAGGCCCTGTCCACCCCTTCCCTCCCGCCTCTCCCCGGGAGCGCAGAAGGAAGATGCTGTTTCCCGAGCGCCGGAGCCTTCGCCTCCCATCGAGGGAGCGCAGGCCCCAGGCGACCCGAGCAGGCCCGGCCTGGCCCTTACGTAACAGCGCTAAGAAAAGCCAGGCGCTTCCCCCCGGCCTGGTCGGAGCGGGCAGAAGAGGCAGAGGCGTACGCGGATGAGAATTTATTTCCAAATACCTCATTTATATCATTTTCACATGAAATATTTCTTTCAGAATATAGCCTACACTTAGAAGAGAATTTTATAAGGCACATCAGATTATAGACTACATAGAGACATTTCCCCCTCACTTGCGTTCATAAAATACTGGTGATTTTAAAAGTAATATTCTAAAACCTAGACCCTGTGTAGCCCCATGTAGAGCAGTCTTCATAAAGTTATTAGACCTCAGTTTACATACACCTAGTAAAGGGCTATAACAAGTTGTATGTACATCACATTTTCTGAAACAGTCACAGCTGGCTACATTTAGAAGTAATGCTACTCCAGACTACGAAAGAGGCTGCTTTTAAAATATAACCTACTGCTTCCAGTATGGCAGGATACAAAGCATTATGATCTTGCAGAACAGATCCTGTTATTTTTGCAAGTGGGAGTTGCTCAGATTCAAGCCTTTCCCCTTCCAAAAAACACATTTTAGGTCAACTGAGACCATTTTACAGAGAAGCAAAGCACCTAAGAGAAACGTGGCTTGAGGGTTTTCCCCAAGATGATAATATGACTGTGTATCTGAAATATTGTCAAACATTAGAGTACAAAATATAAAGGCTCAGGTGTTAACTTCATGACTAGTAAACATTAAACTATTATGGACCAGATGCAACCAAGTTAAAGGCATCCAGCTTCTGTGCTATGGGATCTGCTTTTCTAGGCTCTTCCAGTGCAGAAGCCAACACATTTTTATTGAATTAGGCCCCATGTAAAGATTTCCATTCCATTTCAAAGTTTTCAGGGCTGGAATATTATGCATTCTGCACTGATTTTGCTGTGGTGAAGGAAAAAATATTGCTTGTGGAGCTTGCCAACATAACCCAGAATGCATTTACATAGTGTCTTTTTCCTTAATGGGCCAGAAGGTAAACTCTGGTTAGCTTTATCAATTCCAATGGCTTCCACAGTTGCTCTTTACATCAGGCATTGATTCATTTAGGATGAAAAAAATAGGTTCAGTTTTTCTGTCACTGCAGTTTAGTTTAAGACTATGAAAAAGGTCACTTGAAGGCTAGAGCCACAGTCAGAAAAAAAAAAAGGAAGAAAAAAGAAGAAAGCCAGAGTATAACTTGATCTTGAAGTATCTAGGAAAAAAAAAGCAGTGAAGGTCATAAAAAGACAGACAGACAGCACAAACTAAGTATTTTCTGCAGAATAACTTAAAATACTGACACTTGCCGAGAGTCACGTTACCCCAAAGGTCTCCTGAGCCCAAGGGGGCTGGAATTAGGCTTTGTTTTGCAGGAATCAGATTTAGTCAAAGAGCAGGTCACACTCAATTCCATGTTGTGTTAATCACCCAGCAACTCTTTAGGCGCATTTCACTTTAATTTGTTGGACTGATCTGGGAAGGAATTATCAGTTAAGTTTCCAGAGTGGCCTCGGCCAATTCCCAGAGTGTGATCTTGGACAAGATTCAACAACAAGCAACTGTTGCCTTTAGAAGGGAAACATTAACTTGGTCAAAATCAGCATGGCGAGGAGGACACAACAGTCTCAGGTTCTAGAGCCCAGTGGCTTATAATCTTTATCTGTCCGATTTGTTATTTTGTGTAGCAGCCTAAAAGGGTGAGAAGGGGCATTCTGTAATTCCTGGTTGCAGACTTAAAAAAAACAGATGCAGTTTGCATGATGCTGCATGGATACTTGTAACAGCTCGGAAAAGAAAATTTAAAAACACAACACAACAACATTTACATTCCTTTTAGCTGAAATAGATGAACTATCGTCATGTCTTATAAATACAGAGGAACTCACCACTGTTCAAAGCAATGAGTTAAAGCTGAGCAATGTTCCTTGGACTTCCATACAACTGCCTGGGAAAGATGGGGGAAGGATGGGAGAAAACGATTTCCAAGTCAGGAGGTGACAAATGAGATGTCAGTTCCTTAATGCATTAGGTTCCCTAACAGCAGACTGGAGGTATATGCGTGACCTTTCCAGCTACGGCATTTGCGCATAGATTACACCTCTTGCACACCCTTTTTAAAGTGATCCCTAAGAATGTTGCGTTGGGAAGACATGGAGAAGAGAGCAGGAGTGGGTTTTTAAAGCTAAAAATGTCAGTTAGGAGGCACAGTGTTATTTTTCCCTTTTACCGTCCAGTCACTCACGCTTTTCTCATGAACAGCCCTCGCAGCAAAGGCCTCTGACTTGTTCCTCCCCATCACATTTGCATCACGGCACAAGAAGTCAAATCCGTTGTACAAATCCTTCTAACCTCACAGACACATGGTGCAATTCTTCCTGAATGAAAGATTTTAGTCATGAAACTTGAGGCCAGACCTGATTTCTGGTAATTATTTATCTAAGAATCCTTCTGCCACCCTCAAAAGGGCAACTGAGATATCCAGTAGCATCATATACACATACATACGGATCTACACTATACACTCAGGACAACACAGAATGAGATTTCAGCTAATATAGCCTCTATTTGATTTCCCCAGAGCAGCACTTGTGTCCTTGCAACTCCTATACAAAACAGCAGTATTTTTTCCACCAGGATTTGGAGAGGTTTTTCATCTTGTCTGGAGTCCTACACTTTGATTTCTTTGGTTGCTGCTGGCTATCCGAATACTGAATACCAGCCACAATGGCCGCATCAAAGACCTCCTTGAGGTTTTTCTGAGTCAAAGCAGAGCACTCAATGTAGGACGCAGCTTTTATTTCCTCGGCACAGAGCTTCGCAGCCTCCTCTGAGACCGGCTTTTCTTTGCACTTGTCCAGCTCGATGAGAACCTTGACATCCTCTCGGAGGTCCGACTGGGTCCCAACCAGGATGATGGGCGCTTTGGGGCAGTGGCATCGGATTTCGGGAACCCACTTCTCGCTCACGTTCTGGAAGGAGGAAGGACTCACCACGCTGAAGCACAGCAAGAAGATGTCCGTGTTGGTGTAGCACAGAGGACGAAGCTTGTCAAATTCATCCTGCGGAGAAGGAAGTTGCGTAAGCATCCAATACAAACAGCATGAAAAAAATAAAGAATTCCTGGGTGTATTCCCTGCTTCGCCCTACCGCAGGCTTTTGGAGAAGTTGAGGATCAGCAAAAGGGCAAAAGCAAGGCAAGCAGGTTAAGGCATACTAGCAATGAACACAAGGAGAGGAGGGACTTCAGAGAGTTTACACTTTACAGAGATCTGCCTTGCCGGGGGTGACGTCACCGAGCAGCTGAGTCACAGCGCGCGCGGAGCTCGAGCGCCTGCACTCCTGCCCGAGACAGGAGACACCCACCCGGGCAGCAGCAGAGCAGACAAGTGGCAGCAAGTGCACACGGGTTGGGATGGGTTTAAGCAGCTGACTACTTAACAATATCCTACAGGATATGGGAATAATTTCCCTGCTTTTGTGCCTGGGGATTTAAATCTGATGGCAGCAATAAGGAATCACAATGTGCAGGCTTAACATGCCAATGGCGGGGCCTAAGAGCTTTGCCTTTCCCTCCCATCCATGGCACATCAAACAAACCCCAAACAGCTCTCCCAGTGCCTTTTTTTTTTTTTTCCCTCCTCCTTCTTAGAAGAAGGAGAGGCCCCTCCTTCAGCTTCAGGAGTCAGCCACAAGAAAGCCAAACACCTAAGGGTTGCAAAGGCTTGGCCCCAGAGGCACGCTGATCCTGGCAGCAGCTCCCAGAAGGGCTGGGAGTGAAGAACGCAGCAGCAAGCAAGGGTTGACTCCGTCAGCAAGCAAGGGTTAACTCCACGCCGCCTGCCCTCCGCTGTCCTGCTGACAGTGGGATAAGAGCACAGTAACACTAGCTGCCGGAGAAGGTAGGGTTTGCCTCAACTGCGTGACATTTTAATTAAAAATGCACCGTGTTCTCAAAAGCTCTTAATTTAAAGAAGTGCAAAGAGCAAACACCATTGAGCACATCTCTCTGGTGCCGGGGTTTTACTGCTCAGCTGCAAGTTGCGTGGAATTCTCAAGACTTGAGGTTTTGTTTTAAAGCCTCTGAAGGCCTACGATATGCAGTTTAAAGCCCACTGGAAGCCTCAAAAGTCTCGTTGCACTTGAATGAATTTTTTTCAGCAGTAACTCCGAGACAGACAACGATTTACGGTAGAAGAGCCAAGAAAGCAAGCTTCATTAACTCACTTGATTCCCAGATTAAGCCTCACAGGAAAGCAGGCTCTCACCATTTGGCTTGAGAGAAACCCTATATTTACAGCAAAGTGCAGCTCTGTACAGGGTGACAGGACCATTCAGAGAACAGCACCTTGCCACGTAATTGCCTGTTCTTGCAGTGTGAGAAACCTTAAAAAGCTGGATGCAAGCGCTTTGCAAGCCAAATTCTGCTCCTATAGGTTTCTACCCAGATAAGACCCCTTATTCTATTTTATTCCATGTATGCTCCTACATTTTCAATATAAGTACAGGAACTGCGGAGAACTTACCTCTCTTTGGGCTCATGACACTAAAAAACCTACAGTGTCACTCTGCTTGGAGTGTCTTTTTTAGCCACAGATTTCAGTAGCACTGTTTTAACAAAGTGTCTTTTATTCAGGATGACTTCTGTCATTTTAGATAGACCCTGGATTTTCAATGCCTATACCCATTCCAGCTGCACTTGGACAGATTAAACAAACATCTTGGCCATTAACAACAGCAAAGGCAAGAGGTGATCGGGACCTGCCGATCTGTCCTGCAGTTGCTCTTTCATGGGCTGTCACCCTGCTACGATGGCAGTTCTACCTGCCACGCTCTGCACATGAGTGTGTCTCGACCAAGGCTGAGAGTATGTTATTGTACCAGCCCGCCCCATCGGTCAGGCACTAAATCATGGGACAGATCTGCTGTTTCCTCTCATATTATCTTCCACAGGAGGCTGTTGGGAGTCCATAAATTTGGGTTTGTAGGGCACAAGAACGAGACCTACAGTGTTGTCTAGGACATCAAGGCCCTTCAAATTCCTCCCCTAAGTAGGGCGCCCACTTACAACTCACCTAAATAGGTTTGTATGTTAAGGCCACAGAGATTTTCCAGGGTGGTTTCAGTGAAGGTGTAAACCCAGATCTACCTAGCTATCAGCTATTTAAAACCCTAAATCCCACCGCTCCCAGAGGGGAGACAGGTAGTGAAACACCTCCAGCTTCCAGCCTCAACCTCCTTCCTAAGAGTGCTGTGCACTGCTCGGGGGCACAGCCAGGGGCCGGCAGAAACCCAGGTGGCCTCCAAGCCCCAGTAACTTGGTCTTTCTCAGCAGAGCAGCAGTCTGTGCCCAGCCCACACACGGGAGGCACAGGATGCCCCCAGCCCCCCACCTTTCACACACGCTGGACGGAGCAGTGGGGTGAACGCACAGCAGCACAAACGCAAGCAGCTTAATAAAACGATCAAACACTGGGAACCCTTTCAAACCCATGAAGTCATCAACAGGGCTACTCCGTGTGACAACCTCTTCCCTCCCACCATCCCTGAAATCAAGCAAGTGGCTTCACTGACCTGGCCAGCTGTGTCGCAGAGCTGCAGTCTCACCGGCTTCCCATCGACAGACACGACAGCTTTGGGGAGAAAGGAGGAGGGAGGGGGAAAAGCGTCGTGAGTTCAACTTTATACATTTCCCAAGAAAATAAAAAAAGGATAAAAAAGGGAAAAGGGAAGGAAGATTTGCTATCCCTCAGCACTGACAGTCTTTGGTTAGTTTACATTTCACTACTAGCAGAGCCGTAGCTGAGTCTGTCCCTACCATTTGGGCCCTTCAGGGCTTTCCAATTGACTCCAATGCAAGTGAGGAGGCAGCAAGTCCCCAGACCAAACCTCAGCTTGGCAGAGAGGGAGCCAAGCACTTGGCCTTTCTTTCCTGCTGCAGAGGATTTGGTTTATTATCCTCTTTACATTTGCAAGAAGTCTGGTGGAAAAAAATAATAATAATTGAAAAAAAAAAATCCCCCGCGCAGATCCAAAGGGAAGAAGCACAGCCAAAGCCTCTCCCACTGCAACCGCATCTCGATTGCGCTGCAGAGACAATGCGGGCGCCCGCGACTCCCTTTCGAGAGGTCCCCGTTTCTGCGGAGAGCTGCAAGTTTTGCGCAGAGCCGGCGATTCCGGCCGCCCCCGGGGCGCGGGCACCGGCTGGCGAGACCCCCGC